TGTTACCTATGGAATTGCCATTCTCCTCTATTTCTCTGTAAATAATCCCAAACAGTTGAAATCAAATCACCCTCTGCTCTAAGGAAGTCCTGGCACCATATTGGCAAATTCTTCCTCTGTTTTTGTAGAGTCTGTGCTGATTATTGCCTTTCTTCTCAATAATTGTTCTGTCACTGATAATTAAATCACACCCTCTTGGTTTTATTATATTCAGTATTCCTGATGAGATTTGAGAAACAGCTTCTTGATATCAGCAGCTCCAAATTGTGTGTAGCCTGGTTTTCTCCTCCCCGACAACCCTCACATCTTTCCTCTCCTCCACTTACCCATACATTGGCTAAAAGTACCAACAAAGATCTCTTCCCTTTACCAGAAGGAGACTGGAAGAGCCAAACTATATCAGTAATAGTAGAAAAAAAACACCACTAATTCATCTGGTACACTCAGCATTTTGGTTAATTTATTCAGCATGGTCCTGTCTCCCACACATTCTGGTTACTTTAGACCTCCGTCCACAGGTTCCATAGAGGAGGTATGGTTACAGCATATGAAGAAGTCAAAGTTCTCCCTATTGAGAAGTTTATCTTGGATATGCTCTGTAACTAGCTGTTTATGCCCCAAAGAAATAACCTTTTTTTTTTTTTTAAGATTTTATTTAGGGGCGCGTGGGTGGCTCAGTCCTTAAGCGTCTGCCTTCGGCTCAGGTCATGGTCCCAGTGTCCTGGGATTGAGCCCCGCATCGGGCTTCCTGTTCTGCGGGAAGCCTGCTTCTCCCTCTCCCACTCCCCCTGCTTGTGTTCCCTCTCTCGCTGTGTCTCTCTCTGTCAAATAAATAAAATCTTAAAAAAAAATATTTATTTTATTTATTTATTTATTTGAGAGAAAGAGAGAGAGGGAGAGTGCCTGCATGCAAGCAGCTGGAGGAGCAGAGGGGAGGGAGAGGGACAAGCTGACTGTGCCGACCTCAGAGCCTGACATGGGGCTTGAACTCAGGACACTAAGATCATGACCTGAGCCAAAACCAAGAGTTGGACACTTAACCAACTGAGCCACCCAGGTGCCCCTTCATACAGATCATTTTAACAAGCATGGTTATGGCAGACACAAAAGGGCACAGAGTATATTATTCCATTTATTTTAATATCCAGAATAAGTGAATTCTGAGAGGCAGAAAGCAGATTGGTGGTTTCCCAGGGGCTGGAGGGAGAAGAAATAGGGAATAACTACGTAATGGATAGGGAGTTTTCTTTTTTTTTTTGGATACGGAGTTTTCTTTTGGAATGATAGTTTTGGAAGTAGGGGGGCACCTGATTGGCTCAGTCAGAAGAACATGCGAGTCTTGATCTTGGGGTCGTGAGTTGGAGTCCCATGTGGGGTGCAGAGATTACTTAAATGAGTAAACTTAAAAAATTTTTTTGTAAGTAGATATGTACAATGTACAGACTGAGGGTCGCTGAATTGTACTCTTCAAGATAGTTTTATGTTAAGTGAATTTCAAATTCTTGATTCAGACTTCAGGGACCAAACAGCCAGAAAAAGGGGGAGAGTGATGAGAGGGCTATTCTCTCTTCATGCATGATGTTAGCAATGAGTATGTATAAGCAGAGGAGGAAGTCCAGAAGTGAAGAAAGCAAAGGGGATTAAACACCCTGGGACAGAGAAGAGGAGTAGTAATGGGAATGGGAAGGAAGAACTCAGATATAAATGGCAAGTTCACTTGACCAACACTTAGGGAGTAGGTGCTAATGGGAACTGAGGGCTGTAGGCACGGCTGTACAAAATCAAGGACCTCTTTATTTCTGAACAGGAGGAAACACAATATGTAGTATAAATTAAAGCATTACTTTGTCTCTAATCAAAAATTAAACCTGAAAAGAAAACAAAATGTATGCCATTGCAGGAAACAAAAGGTGTTATTCAAAGCAGAAAGAAACAAGTTGAGCAACAAGTGACTCTACTCTCATTGAGGGAAGGCACCATGTCTTACTGGACTTTGTAGCCCCAGCAAGCTGCCAGGCACAGATAGTCAAAAGTTGCTGCTGATCTCTCAGCTTCTCTTCTATTTTTTTTTTTTTAAGATTTTTTATTTACTTATTTGACAGAGACACAGCGAGAGAGGGAACCACAAGCACGGGGAGTGGGAGAGGGAGAAGCAGGCTTCCCGTGGAGCAGGGAGCCCGATGCGGGGTTCGGTCCCAGGACGCTGGGATCATGACCTGAGCCAAAGGCAGACACTTAACAACTGAGCCACCCAGGCACCCCTGTCGACTCTTCTTCTATCTAATTCACTTAATCTTAACAATGGTCCTAAGCGTTTGGTATCATTGAGTTCTCCTGAGGCACGGAGAGGTTAGGATCATAATAGCGGAGTTAGGATTTGCACCCAGGTGGTTTAGCTCCAGAGTTTGTGCTCTGAAACACTTGCTATATTTCCCGAAGGAATCAAAGACACAATAATTAAAGGACTGACTAGTCAGCAAACATACAGATTCTCTTTATCCTTCTGAGGAAAGGAAAAAGTATGAACCTCTTTGGCATTTCCCATGTTCTTCTGGCCAGGTTCGTAGCTTTCAACCACTTGGTGTCTGCCAAAAATTCCCCAGTAACCTAGTTCTTGGGTAGTCTATGGCATCGTGTGAAGGCAAGCACAAGGGCTTTCAGCCTTAAATTTGAATATGGGAGCACACATCACATCCCTCACCAGGCAAAAGTGTTGCGCACCCTGAGATAAACAAGGAAACAAGTAGGATTGTACCATCTCTAGTTCTAGTCTCAAATACAATCTTCAGTCTCTCCTGTAAAATTACTGACCTCTAGCAAAAACAGTTGTATACCTGTCTTTGGCAGTGGTGATGTCTGAAGTTGGCCTTTGAGGGTATGCTAATCATGTGTAAAAAAAAATTGCTATTTTTCCACCAGGAACAGACTAATAGTAAATTTGATTATCTTTTTTTTTTTTAAAGATTTTATTTATTTTTTGACAGAGAGAGACAGCGAGAGGGAACAACAAACGGTGGGGAGTGGGGGAGGGAGACGCAGGCTTCCCGCAGAGCAGGGAGCCCGATGCCTGGCTCATCCCAGGACCCTGGGGTCATGACCTACGAATACTGTATTTTAAAAATATTTTAAATATTCATAAGTATTAATGTTAATATTTATAAGTATTCTAAAATTCACAAATAAGCCAAGAAAAGCAAACACCACCAAGAGCAAGGCACTACTTTTCTTCTAAACCAGTGGTTGGCAAACTTTTTCTGTAAAGATCTAGATAGTAGAAATTTCCATTTTGTAGGTCACATACAGCCACATACAGCCACATACAGCCTCTGTCACACATTTAATTGTTTGTTTTTTGTTTTGTTTTTTACAACCCTTTAAAAGCAAATAGGCTGAGGACTCTGAAAAACAAACTGAGGGTTCTAGAGGGGAGGGTGTGGGAGGATGGGTTAGCCTGGTGATGGGTATTAAAGAGGGCACGTTCTGCGTGGAACCCTGGGTGTTATACACAAACAATGAATCATGGAACACTACATCCAAAAACTAATGATGTAATGTATGGTGATTAACATAACAATAAAATTTTTTTATTTTTATTTTATTTATTTATTTGAGAGAGAGAGAAAGGTCAGAGGGAGAAGCCGACTCCCTGCTGAGCAGGGAGCCCGATGCGGGACTCGATCCCGGGACTCCAGGATCATGACCTGAGCTGAAGGCAGTTGCTTAACCAACTGAGCCACCCAGGTGCCCTAAAATTTTTTTTAAAAAAGCAAATAGGCTGACCTCATTTGGCCCACGAGTCTTAGTTTGCCAACCCCCAACCTACTGGGAATGATAAAAATGGGCAATAATTAATGGTGAGGGCTAATGGGCTCATTGTTGAGGATATAGATCAATAAAGCTTTCTGAGGGATGGTTTGTCGATTATGTATCAGAATTTTATTTTATTTATTTATTTATTTAGGCTCCACATTCCAATGTGGGGCTTGGGAATTCATTACCCTGAGATCAAGTCACATGCCCTACCAACTGAGCCAACCATGTGCCTCTGTATCAGAATTTTAATTTTAATTTATTTTTTATTTTAATTTTTTTTAAAGATTTTATTTATTTGACAGAACACAAAGCAGGGGGAGCGGCAGGCAGAGGGAGAGGGAGAAGCTGGCTCCCAGGGAGCCACTCCCACTTTCCCTCCCCCGCTCCCCCTGCTTGTGTTCCCTCTCTCGCTGTGTCTCCCTCTGTCAAATGAATAAAAATAAAATCTTTAAAAAAATACCTTATTTGAGAGAGAGAGAGCAATCAGAGGGAAGGGAAGGGACAAGCTGACTCCTCACTGAGCATGGAGCACGACCCAGGGCTCAGTCTCACGACCCTAGGATCTTGACCTAAGCTGAAATCAAGAGATGGATGCTTAACTGACTGAACCACCCAGTTTACCGTATTTTTAATTCCAATTTTTGAAAAAGTCTAGACTCTCTTACAAACCTTTCGCAACTCATTTATGACCCTTAAAAAACACCTTTGTCTTCAAATCTTCCTTTTGCAGTGGAACCAACATTAAGTTAAGTTTTAGCATTCGTGAGTTCGGCCATGGTTCCACTGAGCTAAATTTTATGAGGTCGGTGGCACCTCTCCACTGCTCAAACCTTGTTCTCTGTCAGAAAAAATGGGAGCAATAATCCCTTTAACTGCCCACCTCATGGGGTTGCTCTTAGAGTGAAATATGAGATTCATAATAAACAACCTGATTAAAAAAAATTTGAAAGTTAAATTTAATCTGGGCTAGTTGGAAAAGGAGGTGGCATCATGCAAATAGCCATCCACCACAACAAGCACCGAAAAGTTGAGCTCAGGGCCCCAAGAGCTAGGGCATCTACGGAAGGCTGGGCAGGCTGAACAGGTTTCTGGCCAGACGAACCAATCACACTTTCAACCAAGCTGTGCCAAAAAGGTTTGACTCTCTCCAACCAGTCGCCTCGGTCCCTTCTCCGGAACATTGGAAGATGAAGCTTCCTGGCCGAGATGACAAAACAGCTGTGGTTGTAGGGACAGTAACAGAGGACACTGCGTGTCCCCGAGGTGCCAAACTGTATCTGTGTGCACTGCGCGTGCACGGCCACGCCCAGAGACGCATCCTCAAGGGCGGAGAAGAGATCCTCGCCTTAGACCAGCTGGCCCTGGACTCCCCCCAAGGGCTGTGGTGCCGGCCCGACCTGCGCTCCCATCCTCTAAAGGGCCGAGAGATGTACAGGCATTTGGGCAAGGTCTCATGAAGCAGGCACGGCCACACCAGACCCTAAGCACATTCCAAGGGCCGCGTGGGCCAGAGGTGGAGGGGCCTGTGGGGGGCTACAAAAACTAACCCGAGATCCTGCTTTTATTAATGATTTTGGATGGTGGGGGAAAAAATTTAAATTAGAAACCTTAAATTAGACACAAACTAGTATTGGTGATATTTACACCCTTTGCAGGTTTGCACACCTGTCTGCTCAGTGACTAATCAGCAAGGGTTATCTCATTTTGTTGCAAGGGAAGGAAGAGTAAACCTACTCAAAAAAGTTAGGGAGAAACCAATCCATTTAAGTAGAAAAAAAATCTTACTGTTATATTAAATATATAATATTACAGGTGCTGACCCTTTTGAATACATAATCTTGTTCATTCTCAAAACAACTCCGAAGGTAGATGTACTCCCATAAATTTACAGGTGAGCAGCTATTCACTTAGGAACACACAACTAGTGAGTGCTACGTCAGGACTGGCCCTGAAAGAAACATGAAATCCTTTATGTTAAAATGAACAGGATGATGTAAATATATATTTTACTATACCTAGAACCATGTTGATTTGAGGGTAGGTGCCCCATGCATAGATGCATATATTTTTTAGCTGCTATGTGACAGGAAAAATTATTCCTGCCCCGTGTCATTAAACTATACTGTGATTCTTATGAATTGTACTTACACATACAGTTTATAATTTATGAATTATTGTACATTACCACTTATTACAATGTGCCTGATCTTTCCCAGTTTTTTGAAAAAAATGGCAACATAAGAGCATAGTTTAACATTACCAAGTTATAGGGGCGCCTGCGTGGCTCAGTTGGTTAAGTGTCTGTCTTCAGCTTAGGTCATGATCCCAGGGTCCTGGGATCGAGCTCCGCGTCGGGCTCCCTGCTCCGCGGGAAGCCTGCTTCTCCCTCTCCCACTCCCCCTGCTTGTGTTCCCTCTCTCGCTGTGTCTCTCTCTGTCAAATAAATAAATAAAATCTTTAAAAAAAAATTACCAAGTTATAGATTACCTTCCAGCAAAGTGGTTTCTCTGAATAACAGTTGAAGAGTTGTCATTCATGATTTTACATGAACATTTTCGAAGTAATTTTTGTTTTCAACACTTACTGACTTTGAGGTTAACATTACACATTTTCATAAGCTTTTTATATTAATAATACTTTGTTGGGGCGCCTGGCTGGCTCAGTCAGTGGAGCATGTGACTCTCAATCTCAGGGTTGTGAGTTTGAGCCCCACTTTGGGTGTAGATATTACTTAAATAAATAAATCTTGAAAAAAAAAAACAACCCAACATTTTTTCCCTTCTTCTGAAAATCTCATCCCTTTTGGGAAATGGATGGATAGGTATATGAATGTAATTTTATACAAATGGAAGAAAACTTTTTCTGGACAGTCTCATTATCCTTCATTGTAACTCGTGTGTGACCCTTAGGGACAGAACAACATATTAGGAAACAACTGTGTATAATGACACAGTTGATACCTCAATGCCCATCAATCCCTTAAGTGTCATTCAGGTTATTTTCCATTTAACTGTTATCTTACATTCACTCCAAGTTCATCTGTTCCTCTTTTTCCAGGTTAAGGCAAGAGGCGAATCTCACAAATTTAAGATCATCCTCAGTCCTCATGGTTCATCACGTAAATTTAATAATGTACCCCACAAAGCTACACATATGGTAGGTAAACCTGCAGAAGAAAGGAAAAGGGAGAGGAAGGAGAAAATTAGCTGAGATAGAGAAAGACCTGCAGGACCCCCTGGGTTAGGAAAAAACCCAGAACCTTCCTGAAAGTGATGGGACAAATTGAAAGAAAGAAAAAAAAAAAACACCTTTATTGGCTATTTAAAAAAAAAAAATTGAGGGTTTGAGGTGAAGTGAAGCTCAGTTTGTCAACAGGAAGCTATGGGCTCTGCACCTCTATTTATATAAACAGCATTTGCTTTTTCCATCTTAGGTTCTTGCCCAGAAGTTGTTGTCTGACCACTGCTTCTGGCTCTGCTTGACTGGTTTTTAGAAAAAAAAAAGAAAGAAAGAAAGAAAAAAACTGTGGCCACATGTTCCTTTCTCTACCACAGAGAACCTCAACAAGTCACTTTCCCTGATGTTTCTTTAGTGAAAATGCTAAATGATACAGGATTCAATGTTGATTGGAGTGTTGTATTTTTAACCATATCCTTGCCTCCCTGAGTTGACAAAACTATGGGGACAGTCCTGCCTCTCTTCTGCTGTGCTCCTGATGTTTTCCCATTCTACCCTGTAAAGTTCCAGGTCTCTCGGGACCTCTTCCCCACACTTTGCAAATTCCCTTCCCCCATTGGATCTTCGAATTCCCATCTTCCAGTGTCCTGGTCCCCTGCCCTGATGCCAACCTGCCATTACTCTCCCATCTGCTAACTCCCCTTCTCTGGTGCTCTTCTGTCTTCTGTTTCTTCTCAGATTTTTTTCCTCACTGCTTTACAGCTGCTTTCAGTAGCAGAGGAAGGGTAACCTTAAAGGTGGCAAATTGTTTGCACCTCTGACCAGGTGTAACATAGTTGGTTTGACACAAACACCCTGAGGCAGAGGAGGGAGGAGCTTGTGGCTAGCAACATCCACTTCTTGATGTCATCAAAAGCAAGGCCCAGAAGTGGGGAGACCAGCTGGGGTTTGCACCATCTGCCTGTGAGTCAAAAGAATACTTAGAGAAAGTGTGCATGGAACTATATTTAGAGTATAGTGCACACTTGAATTTCCCATTCAGGGAGAAAGGAGAATTTTCATAAGCATGCAGTATGGAAAAAGTTGGGCTCAGAGCAGAATCAGCTCAATTTTGGATGAGAAAACAGGAGTAAACCTCACGGGTGGACAGATGAAGCTGCTATCTTTCAAAGTACCAGAAGGCATTCAATCTCAAAAATTGACTAAAGATAACCTTCTTTTTTAAGATTTTATTTATTTATTTGAGAGAGAGTGAGCAAGAGAGCATGAGCAGGGGGAGGGGTGGAGAGAAAGGGAGAAGCAGACTCCCTGCTGAGCTGGGAACCCAAAGACATGGGGCTCTGATCCCGGGACTCCAGGATCATGACCTGAGCCAAAGGTGAGCTGAAGGCAGATATTTAACTGACTGAGCCAGCCAGGCGCTCCTGCCTACAGATACTTTCACCAAATCCTTTAGTTCCGAGTTTAAAGATACACTGGGTTCAAATAATTTTTCATCAAAATATAAATTCCTCACTGAAGAGAGTTATCATTTGTGCTCACCAGGAAAGGGATAATATTAATACCTAAAAGAATAAAAGGTTTTCAAATTCTTTCATGGGAGGAACAGGGAACGAAAACTAGAACATCAGAAATGGGGTGAGGGTAAAAAACTAGAAGGAGGTAAATGAAATTCTGCCAGTGGGCAAGAATACAGAGGGAAAAGGGGCGCTTGGGTGGTTCAGTCGGTTAAGGGTCTGCCTTTGGCTCAGGTCATGATTCCAAGGTCCTGGGATTGGGCCCTGCTCAGCAGGCTGTCTGCTTCTCCCTCTGACCCTCACCGCTCTCGTGCTCTCTCTCAAATACCCCCGCTAGTGCACATGCACTCTGGCATGTGCTCTCTCTCTCTCAAATAAATAAAATCTTAAAAAAAAAGAATACAGAGGGAAAGAACAGGACTGGGTTCCTGGTGGCTCAGACCGTTGAGTGACCCACTCTCGGCTTCAGCTCAGGTCGTGAGATGTACATCCCCCTCATCCCAGCCTAGCCCCTTGTTGGGCTCCATGCTCAGCAGGGAGTCAGCTTCGAATTCTCTCCCTCCATGCCCCCCCTTTCTAAAATAAATAAATCTGGAAAAAAAAAAAGAAAGAAAGAAAAACCAGGACCAAATCAACGTCCTGAAACTGATCTGGGACTGTCCTTATGGGAAAGTTGTGGGGGAAAATAAGAATTTAGAAGCATAAAGAAAGAGGGGAGCCTGGGTGGCTCAGTCATTAAGCATCTGCCTTTGGCTCAGGTCATGCATGATCCCAGGGTCCTGGGATTGAGCCCCGCATCGGGCTCCTTGCTCAGCCAGAAGCCTGCTTCTCCCTCTCCCACTCCCCCTGCTTGTGTTCCCTCTCTCGCTGTCATATAAATAAAATCTTTCTCTGTCAAATAAATAAAATCTTTAAAAAAAAAAAGAAGCATAAGGAAAGAATGGGAAGCAAGTTAGGAATGTTGGTTTACGTATCAAGAGTAAAATAGGTTGAGAACATAAGAACAATGAGAAATGGGAAAACACTGGAACATGATCCAGTAGAAGAGAAGCAAGAGTAAAGCATGAAGGGCGCCTGGGTGGCTCAGTCATTAAGCGTCTGCCTTCGGCTCAGGTCATGATCCCAGGGTCCTGGGATCGAGTTCCACATCGGGCTCTCTGCTCCTTGGGAGCCTGCTTCTCCCTCTGCTTCTCTCTCTCTCTCTCTCTCCCTCTGTCTCTCATGAATAAATAAATAAAATCTAAAAAAAAAAAAAATTGTAAGGCATGAAGCTTTACCTAGCAAGACTGTTGGGTCCAAAGGGATAGAGAAGAAAAAGAATTTTCTGATGAATTGAGGAATTTCCTGGAGGAGAGTAAATTTGCTGCGTTGGAGTACCGATGACAAAATTGTGGTGTGAGGAACGATACAACAGAGAATAGTAGACTAGAGCAATACCGGTGTTCTTTTGCAAAGTGGGATAAAAGCATAAATGGGGGCGGGCATCTGGGTGGTGGAGTCGGTTAAGCCTCCAGCTCTTTGTTTTTGGCTCAGGTCATGATCCATGGGTTGTGAGTTGGAGCCCTGAGTCAGGCTCCGCACTCAGGGCAGAGTCAGCTTGAGATTCTCTCGCCCTCTCCTCCTCCCCACTGCACGTGCTCTCTCTAAAATAAATCTTAAAAAAAAAAAAAAGCTTAGGGGCTCCTTGGGTGGGTGGCTCAGTCAGTTAGCAACGGACTCTTGATTTCATTCAGACCGTGATCTCGGTGTCCTGGGATCCAGCTCTTCGCTTAGCGGAGTCTTGCTTGTCCTTCTCTCTCTCTGCTCCTCCCACCCCCCTCACATGCTCTCTCTCCGTCTCAAATAAATGAATAAAGTCTTTAAAAAGAAAAAATTTTTTAATAATTTAAAAAGTACAAATTGGCATCATTCTAAACATGAGAAAAAAACAGATCAAAGACCACTCTTCTGAAAAGGAATTAAGAAAAATTTATTTTAAAATGTTTAATTTGCAATATACACAATACTGGGATTGAGGTGCTTTGTGGTGGGAATGCCACCTCATTCAATATACGGTAGGAGGATCATGTTCATGGTGAGATTCTTAAATGATTCTTGGAAATTCTGTGCCTATGAGATTTTTCTACGGTGGGTATAATACCCACTTAATACCTCTATCTATTTATGAGGATATTTACTTTTAGAGGCTGTAGAGCAGAGATTACATGCTTTGGGTTTTAGCATTTCTCTTTAATCAGTTGTGCAAATCCCATTAAACTAAATTGTTTCTTAACAGCAAGAGTCTGATGCTCATTTACATAATTTTCTTTCAATAGGAAAAGAATCCAACCCTACCAAGCGGAGAGGAATTCTGAGTGTGTAACTTGCCTCAAAGTCTCCTATTTCTTTTTCTTTTTTTTTTAAAGATTTTATTTATTCATGAGAGAGAGAGAGAGAGAGAAGCAGAGGGAGAAGCAGGCTCCCAAGGAGCAGGGAGCCCGACGTGGGACTCGATCCCGGGACCTTGGGATCATGACCCGAGCCGAAGGCAGATGCTTAACCATCTGAGCCACCCAGGCGCCCTAAAGTCTCCTATTTCTTATCTTCGTTGAATTTTGTGGGCTTTTTTGGAAAGTTACTAAGTTATTCAGATAGAAGGATCTATAGTATGTAATTGCTAACTTATTATGTTGTGGACTGCTGTCTTAATATGTTTCTCCCCTTAGGAAGCACACATGGTGGTTATGAATTAGACTGCATCTAGGCTTCAAAAAATTCAAATAATGCATTTAAATCTTGAGAATCACAGAATGAAAAGATACCTTAGAACCAACATAGATTTAACCTTGTCGTGTTAGAGATGGGAAATTAAACCTGGCTTACTGGTTTACCTGGTTACTGCTAGACCCAGGATAAGAATGTAGGTTGTCTGAATATTGTGTTTCTTTTACTCTTTCTTATAAACCAATAGGTAAACTTGGTCTGCTTATTAAAGTTTAGGTCTGAATGCCCTTCTTAAGCCCCAAATCAGGCTATTCCAGAGTCCATTTGCATGGTAATCTCTACAGATTTCATTTAGTGATGAGAATGAAAGAAGTAGCAACAAATCAAGGAAACTCTGACCAAAGTCAGAAATGATTTCACATGAAATTGTCTAATTTGCGAGGGTGGGCAACCCCCATATGACCAAAAATAAGTAAATGGGACTTTATACCCCTACTTGCCAATTGGACAACTGCATGAAAAAGTGAATAGGGAACCAGTGAGCCCCAGTTCCATACGTAGCCTACTCCTCTGTCTATCCTCAGCCTCTGAACTTAACAGACCTCGTCTTGGGTCTTTGTATGTTGCCAGTAGGATTGTGTAACTCTTGGTTCTGGAGAATTGTCTAGGACTACAAAAATTACCATGACTCTACTCAAGGAAGATCTGAGCAGGCAAATCCAGCAAAATAGTTAAAATAAGAGTAAAGAGTGCTATGTAAATGAATGAGGCATTCATCTAGGAAACTCCTGAAAATCAAAAAAATGGCTAGCCAAAATGGACAGCAACAACTTCTTCCACCCTAAGATTTATTTCAGACAGATTCGATGGTAAATATTAACCTAAGGTTTATTTTCCTCTGAAATTGTATGTAGAGTGCTTATATATAAGCCACATGGTTATCATTAATCTATGTCTATGATATTGAGAAGCAGCAAAACCATGCAATAATACAGACTTTATGTTATCAGTCTGGGTGAAAAATCAGGGAGTGGAAGCAAAAGCTAGACACTGCAAAGGGACTGTTTTAAGAAATACTACTGTCTGTGGGTTAGCGGACATTGGTTGGACAAGAAGGAGTTCCCTCTTGTTAGAGCATTCTCTTCCACCCACCCACACATTCTTCTTTCCTCTTCCTTGATGATCACAGACCACTGGGTCTCTGCAAATTCACATTTTCACATGGAGGAAGTCGGAAGTAGTTGGAGCGACGGAGTCGCCTTGGGGGTAAACCAGCCATCTGACGGCAAAGTTCATCTAGAAGAGAAGCAGAGCATAATGGGATGGGATTGCAAAAAAATAACAAGGGCTCCTGTTTAAAGAGAAAGAGAAGACCCCAGGGTGCTGTAGTGAAAGACTGAAGAAAAATAGATCTAGGCTAGAACCCCAGATGTGCAGCTTACTGGTTATTTCTTACTTACTAGAAAGTTTCTTAACTTTGCTGAGCCTCACTGTCCCTTCCAGTATAATAAGCATGAAATACCTGCCTCAACAGTGTAGTTGTGAGTATTAAAATGAAATAATGTATGCAAAGTACCTAGCACAGGTGGCCAGTAAATTTTAGGTTCCTCTGTATACCTAGCTCCCAATTCTTATAATCATGGATTTATTAATAGCAAAAAAAAATGAGATTCAATAATTCACGATATATTTAAGTGTTTACTGTGTGCAAATGGCTAATTTTAGTAAGTCCCCTGAGACATTTGAAAGTGCCTAGAGTCCCAAATACTCATCCTCAGTCTCAAGGTGCTTCCCTTGCAGGTGGCTTGCACAAGGCCAATGGGGGGCAAGTAGCAAGTTTCCTTCTGTGAAGTTAACTACAGGTCTTACTCAGGAGCTCAGTGCAAGATGGGCTGCTGAGTCAGAAGGGGCCGTGTCTGTGGTGCCTTCGCCAACCACACTTATCATTTGGGGCTGGCCATAAGGAAGGTGAGAAGTATCTTTGTTTCCACAGTGCACAGTTTATAACCACACACTTTGAACGCTTGTAATCGTTTTTATAAAGTTTTTCTACCCTTGTTTACTTCTAAATTTTCACAATAAGTAAATTCCTGGCCTTGGTAGACTGTTTAAAATGTTGCCAACTGCTAAATATCCAGTCTGGTTTTTTTTATTTACTTATAAGCTCTATACAAACATAAGTGTCTCCAAATTAGTGATTTTTTTTTTTTTACAGTTTTTCTTTTATGAACATGGCTTCCAACTGTGGCTGACTTGGCTTTTTTTTAAGTTTTCATTTTTTTTCAGTAATCTCTATAACCAATGAGTGGCTCAAACTCATGACCCCAAGATCAAGAGTTGCTTGCTCCCCAGACTGAGCCAGCCAGGTGCCCCTGACTTGCCCTTTTCACATGGAACCCCAGTGAACTTCAAAGCAGCCAGAGCTTCAGAAAGTTCTATGTATAGGAGAGGTTGGGGGTTACAACCTAGCTGGAAAGAGAGCCAAGCATACTTTTCTTACATATTTAGCATGCTTCTTTACTTGGATTGCTTATTTAGCAGAACTTGGTAGAGCAGGGATTGATGAGGTTTAAGGAGGTGGCCTAAAGCCCTCCTCAGAAGCCAGACCTCGGACCCATTGGGACCAGGTCTGTACTCACCGCTCTCATAACTGCTCCCTCCACGAAAACCCAGACATCATCTTACCTTTCATAACTTCGTGTTCTTTACAGACAAGACGAGAGCAGATCTCATTGTTGATGATGTACATACGTCGTAAACTGCCATAGTCCCAGTGACATGGTTAAGGAAGGAGATAGAACAAAGCATTGTGGGGAAGAACTAGCCTAGGCCAAGGGTGCCTGCTCAACTCCTGTATCCCCCACTCTCCCTATTTGTTCTCCTCCTCTCTGGATTTCCTCAATTATTTTGGACCGCTTTTTTCCCTCCCAGAGGAGTGCAGGAAATGGAATGGTATTATTCTTAGTGATACTTTGCGCACTCCACCTAGAGTCAAGTTTAATACTCCTCCCCACTATTTTCTACCTTTAGAGTTGGGTCTTTTGCTTCAGCCTTTTTCTATGAGGTAATAGGTTCACTGTGCCAGTATTTCTCTCATGACTGTCCCTTCCCCAGCCCTAATCTCACTTGCCTTCTGGCATCTAGTCTTATTGGTCAGTCTGTTCTCCATATACCTCAATTCAGACTCCAGGTTCTATCTGGCACCAGCAGGCATAGCTAGGAGGACCATGTTAAGAACTTCTGTGCCACAAACACTGAAATCCCATGGTGGGTGCTCATTAAACAGTTACTGGCATGAAAGTACGACCATGGATGATGCTTTCTGTATATCCTGGGATCCCTTACCTTGTGAAACATAACTGATGAATGCATTGCTTGACTGGTCGATGCACAGAGTAGAGTCTTGTGCAAGCGAATTTTTCATCCCGGCAATCTGAAGAAGTCCAACACAGAAAACAGGGATAAACAAAGGATTCAAGAGGTGGAAGAAGGTAGATAAAATGGAGAAAAAATACAAAGTAGTCTCTACACAGGATCATTGTAGTTTGGGGAATGCCCCTCCCTGTTTACCAAAAGAGAACGGTAGGAAATTGGCTGAAATAAAATTTCGGTGCTTTCCTACCTGGAAGCAGAAGTAGATAAAATAATCTCTGAGGGTTCTTCTAGGAAAGTCTTTCTAGGGTTCTCCAGGTGGCCGTATGAAATATAAAATTGAGATGCTTTTAACCCCATTCTAAAGAATCAGAATTCTTAAGTGGGTCACAGTTTCTATTTTAGTAGTTTCCAGTCCTAGATCATCAGTACAATAGAGAGAGCAACTTTGGCCATGACAACTCAAGTAATACTGGGTCCTTCCAGTTACTTCCCAACTCACTAACCACCACAGAAAGTCCAAATCTAGTTTAGGAAGAGGATTCTTTCAGGATCATCCAACAGTGGTCCCATCTTTTCCCCCATGAGATTGAAGATAGGAGCTCATAAAAAAAGTAGGAATGAAGAGCATTAAAAATATTCTTTGAGAAAGAACTGGAAGCAAACTCGAAGGTATACCAAGTGTCCTTCAAAAATAAGGAAGTGTGAATCCCCAAGAAGAAGGCTGAGGAAAAAGACGTGCAATCATACCTGTTGTGGTATTTTTATCAGTAGGAGAAGCTGGAAGGCAGAAATTTTATTCAGTTATTAACCAGTTCCAGTAGTCGCTACCTCCACAACTGTCATGTCGCCTCACTTATAAATAAAAAACAAATGAGTTGCTAAGCTTTAGCAACTTCTAACAGAAAACCCACAATGGGCTGTTTTGTTCCACAAAATTGGAGAGGTTTAGAAGTTAGGATGGGAAATCTGATTTTGCCTTTCTCCTCTTCTAAAATTGAAAAATTGATTTTCATTGTGTCTTTGTTTTGTTGACAAGAAGCAAATTTAGTAGGGACACAAGGCAAGGAGCCCTATGCCCAGAAGAGCTTCATCCTACAGCTAAGGGAGAAAAGATTGTAGAAGCTCTTACTCATAAAAGAAAATTTCTTCTCTGTAAATCAAATAAGTCATCATGAGTTCTTGGATAAAAGTTAACTCAGCAAAGAGTAGCAAAGGTCACAGCCATAGCCAAACTTAATCTAAGGTCAAGTTAAATATGGGCCTAACTTGTAGAATGAGCAAGTCAAGGAGTAAGATGAATCTTGGGAAGACACTAACCATGGGAGTTATGTGTCAAAATGCCCTTGGAAGAGCTGTTGATAGATAGAATACTATGGGAAGTATGCTAGGTGATCTCATCTGTCCCCTGGTTTCAACTGCAGGCTTAAATCCTGAGAGTTTTCAAACTTCTACTTCCAGCCCAGATCTCTGCTAAGCTCCAGACTTACAGAAAAGCCCCCTGACATTTTATGGAAGAGTTGTAGATTTTTCCAAGATCCTTCAAATCTAACATCTTAAACTGTCCTATCTTCCCCTTCACCGATTCAAACTGTTCTTCAGTGAATGGTCCCACCATCTACCCAACAGGACACTGGACCTCATCTCAACAGCTCAACAGTCCTCTCTCACAGCTCACACTTAATTCTCCCTACCTCCACCTCAGTGAGTGCAGGCCATCATTCTTTTATTGGGACTAGTGCAATAGCATCCTGGCTGGATTTCCAATTCACAAATCTGATGGGAACCTTTCTTTGTCTAAGCTATTCTGATGGGTTTTTATTTCCGTCCTAAGGCCTCTCGCATAGTGTTTTCTCTACCCAAAAGCTCTTCTCCCTCATTACTCGATTCACTTCTACTTGTCGTTCAAGAAGCAACTTAGTATGTACGCCCTCCACAGAAGCCTTTCCTAAGCCGCAGCACTGAATATACTCCAGCACTCTTTGTAGTCGTCTGTCGCTTCTTTTACTTATCCTGATTACGGCATTTTGTAAAACTGAGTAAAGTTACCCATTTGTTTATCTTGTGGATTAGACAAAAAATATCAAGTAAAACGAAGTCAGTTTTGTTCGTCTTTATATTCCTGGTACTCAGTAGTAGGTTTTCAGTAACTATTTCTTCAAAATCTAGTTTATGTCTCATTTTCTCACATCCTACCACTCGTTTCTTGTAGATTTTGCCCTATTCATTAAAAAAAAAAAAAGTTTCCTCAATGTACCAAGCTCTATTTTGTGTTCAAATCTTTGAACATACTGTTCCCTCTTTGACTGCCTGACTGGGTCCAATTCTTTTTTCAAGAATCGGTTCAACCATTACTTCTAGGAAGTTTCCCTTTAGCTTTCCAAACATTGATCTGTTTATATATTTGTCTTGCCTTTACCCACCCAGGCTTGGAAACTTTGAGGAAAAGATCACACGTTGGTATTTTGTACGTCAGACACCCAGCACAGCCCCTGCTTATTAGGGGATCAAAAATGTCATTAATTTAAATTGAACTGTTGGAAGAATGTGCTACATAAACTGTAGTCCTGTCTATGTCGGATCCTTCATCAGCTGTACTGCCTTCCATAATGGGCTCTGGGGAAAGCCCAGAATGGCCCCAGTGGCCCTGGGATCGCAGATTTGAACTCACCCAGGTCATCTGTGGAAGGCTCGATATCAGCCAGAACTGAAAAGGCACAAAACATCAGGTATGAGGAGGGCTTTGAACTGGCAAGGGGGAAGGCGCAGGAGAAAAAGGAAGAATGGAGAGGCGCCTGGGCGGCTCAGTCGGTTAAGTGGTTAGGCATCTGACTCTTGGTTTTGGCTCAGGTCATGATCGCAGGGTCTTGAGATCAAACCCCGGGTCGGGCTCTGCACTGGGCCTGGAGCCTGTTTCGGATTCTCTCTCTGCTCCTCCCCCACTATAAAAAATAAAGACTGGAAAAAAGGGAGAACGGCGGTATGGGGCTAAGTCAAGGCTATGGCTGGGTTTGTGTATTATATCCAAGGGAATAGAGTTAATTGTTAAGTAATGGTGAAACTTCCTTTTGAAGAATATTTGGCCTACTGACATTATACTTTATTATACATGCCTTATTTTAGCTATTCATCCACTTTGTTTCATCTTTTTAGAGGAATGGGGACTCTCTTTTTATCCCACTGTCACTGGACAAAACACCCCCAACCCCTCTTTCCCTTTCTTAGATAAAAATACAGGATTAATTCAAAAGCTGGGAAAAATAATTGTGGATATTAACAATCATGCCATTTTAAAAGCGGTAGTAAAACTTACCTGTTTCATCTGTAGAGGGCTCGTTCACCAGATCTGCAAAGATACAACACAAAGAATAAAAAAAACCACAGGAAAAAGTGGGAAAGGGAAGCAGGATAAAGGGATGATCTAAAAGGAAGCAAGAAAGAATGAAGCGGAAGGATATGGCCTCTTGGTCCCATGTAAGCGACCCTCAGGAAGGAAGTGGGAGAGAAAACATGTTCACAGCGTCAGTGCTATCTGAGACGCTAGGGTCGGCCTGAGCTCAGAGTGTCCACTCACGTCTTTCTACTCCACATTTATCTGTGTATAGACATCTCAATCTTATTCCCAGTATGAAAACGAAGAAATAAAAAGGGTAGCTTACTAGGATCTTCTGTGAATGGTTCTGGAGTCACTGGAGTCACATCATCTGAATAAAAAAAAGCAGAAAACATTTTTAATAATTTTTAAAAGATTTTATTTATTCATTTATGAGAGAGAAAACGAGAGCAGGGGGAGGGGCAGAGGGCGATGGAGAAGCAGACTCCTCGCCAAGCAGGGACCTTTTTACCTGGGGCTCGATCCCAGGATGCCCGGACCATGCCCTGAGCTGAAGGCAGATGCTTAACCAACTGAGCTGCCCAGGCACCGCAGGAAACATATTTTTTGAGCATTCTCTGTCCCCCTCCCATTCTTGTACTCCCAGTGAGTGAAACCTGTCTATCACAGTTGCCAACACACAGCAAGTAGCCCACAATTGGTTTTCATTGTTTGCTTCCCAACCAGAGTCCTTTCCCCCACAGCCCAAACAAATGTCAGTTTCCCACCTCCACGAAGATACCCGCACTGTCCTAGCCTAGAATATCCTTTTCCCTTTGTCTCCTTTACCTACATGCCCATTAGATAATCCTCCATAGGCATCCCCTTCCTCAGTTTAGGAATAGAATAACATATTTCATTGTCCTACCAGATAATACTATAATAGCTAATTTGGGTTTACTATATGCCAGGCACTCTTTAAAAAATCTGTATTTGGGGCGCCTGGGTGGCTCAGTTGGTTAAGCGACTGCCTTCGGCTCATGATCCTGGAGTCCCAGGATCGAGTCCCACATCGGGCTCCCTGCGCAGCAGGGGGTCTGCTTCTCCCTCTGACCCTCTTCCCTCTCGTCCTATCTCTCATTCTCTCTCTCTCAAATAAATAAAATGTTTAAAAAAAAATCTGTTTTTTACGGATGATACAATTGAGCACCGGACAAGTAAATAATTTACCCAAGGTCATACAGCTTGTTGGAAGTACAATGGATTGATGACCTCTTTGCAATACTTAACTTTAAGTGAAAACTGTCTTTACCAAAGACACTGATTTCGATAATGACAGGTTTGAAATAATTGGATATCAGTTTGCTGATAGGCTTACATAAAAGTATGTTCACCAAAGGTGATGTTGATGATTTTCTGATGCTCAGAAGTGAGGTGAGGAGAGGGGAGGGGATGTTTGTAGAGAATACCTTGCAGTTGATCATTGGAAAGTAAAGGCAGGAGGAGAAATAAAAATAAATGGTCCAGGTCTTAAGGTGGAATCTATTAAGATACACCAAGAAAACTGTGTCTGAAACTATAAATAACAGCACTACCTGAAACAAATTGTCTCAGCTTTAAAAAGCGAAATAACAATGCAGTGTTCACATCTAAATATTTAATAAATATCCCATCTATAATTATCCTTTGTTGTAGATGACTTATCGTCATAATCTGGTTTGCCCACCAGGGGTCAGCAAATTCAGTTTGCTTTGAATTTTTCCTTAAACTTCAGCGTCTAAATGCCATGTTTAGTCTGGAGAAAATAGCATTTTGATACAGCATCCAGAGCTATTGATCATTGTGGCAGAGGCAAAACGCAAATAATATATTCTGAAGCAATTTCCCCTGCTGACTGCTTACAGCATCCTCTTTTAAAAAAAAATTCCAGGTAGAAAGTCATCAGATTTAGCTTTCGCATTTCAGAAGAAATTTTGGTAAAAGAAATCCAAGTCTGTTCCCATCCCCCAGGACGTTTGAAAAACCACTAGCCCGAGTCGTTCCAAAAACCGTTAAGAGGGGCGTGGAACCTCTCCAGGGTGTAGCCCAATGCCGCCAGTTCCCTTCCTCTCTAGCTGCATTCCAGTCCAGCCACTCAAAGAAATGCAAGTGAACCAGTGGCAGAGCAGAGGGGTTGAGAGTGAGTCCTTGCTGTCACCTCAGAATTTCTGGATAGAGTACTGGTTTTTGGTATATTCCTCAGATTATCCACCTTTTCCATGAGCTACCACTGTATAAATGCTTATCTAGGATTCATCTTCTCCGAAAGGAAATCTTAAGTAGGCAGTTTCTTTTTAAGATTTTATTTATTAGAGAGAGGGCACGCTAGAGCGTGCGCACAAGCGGGGGTGGGGGGCAGAGGGAGAAGCAGGCTCCCCTGCTGAGCAGAGAGCCCCATGCGGGGCTCTATCCCAGGACCCCAAGGTCATGACCTGAGCCAAAGGCAGACACTTAACCGACTGAGCCACCCAGACAACCCTTAAGTAGGCATTTTCATATCATATTTCTGCTAGGAAAGCCTCCCAAACTTGTAGACAAGGACTAGACTTTAACCAGCCTAGAGAAACGAATGCAAAAATTTTTTTTGCTAATGCTGAACTCTGATGTAGATTCAGAAAGTTTGGGATTCAGACCACTTTGCCCACAGCAGATTAAAAAAAAAAATTGTGTTTCTATATTTTTGTCTTCTGTACCAGGATGCACAGGAAGAAATTATATTGTGCCCCAATGCACACATAGAAAATTGAAACAAGTTTGAAAGATAATGCTTTACTCTTGCAATGTATTTGCAGTGTACTCCATTTTTATTTTAGTCTGTACTAATTCATTAAAAATTAACCATTGTGATCTGCTAATTTGATTTTATGGTCCATTAATGGGTTACATACTGCTGTGCTCTCAAGGGTTGGGAAAAGTAAGAGATAAATGTAATAATGTTGAATGTCTGGAGGCAGAGTGGAGATGTTTGATTGGAGTTTCCATCATTGAGCTGGAGGAAGTGGCTGCTTGGAAGCCAAAACTTTTGGGTTCTGTCCATTTAGTGCCAGAATTTCGCTGCAGTACTGAGATGACTTTTTATTCTGTCTGCATGTTAGCTTCTCCATTGTTACATGGATAGGAAAAAGCTGTTAGGATTAGTGGCATTTTCTGAGTGAGATAAGAGCTGTATATAGGAGAGTGGAAATTAGAGATGGCCATAGAGGAGGTTTGGGGCAAGGTATTTCAGTTGTTAAAAAGTAAGAAGATTTTATGAACAGGATAATAGGATTGTGGAAACTGGTGAGTTAGATCCTATTTTCCACACTTTGGCAATGTGTCTCTCTGTTATATTACAGATTCTTTAACTCTGGCCATTCATCAGTATTCTTTAACTCTGACCATTCATCTACATTATCCTGATAACCCCAGCAGATAGGGTGCCTGGTTGTCTCAGTTGGAAGAGGGACTCTTGAATCATGGGGTCTTGAGTTTGAGCCCCACATTGGGGGTAGAGATTACTTAAGTATATATTTTTAAAAAAACCACAGACGTGCCCAGCTCCAAAGGTTTACCTACCTCCTCGTTGACCACCAACTCCTAGTGGTGTCCAGTCTGTACCAAAGGACAGAAAAGAGGGATAAATGACTCCAGCTCTACACCCCATAAAGCTTTTATAAGATGAGCCAGAAAATGATGGGAAAATGGTTGTACTTTATTTTTCTGCGTTTTATTTCTATATAGTCCAATACAAAATTACTCAGACCATTAGTGGTGACATGGAGACACTCAAGAAAAATAAGTTCCTAAGAATAAAGCCCTGCTTTGCCAAGTCCTGACTCGGGATGCCCTTTCCCCCTCATCCCCTAGCAGAAGGAGTGGGGTCTTGTTCGGCAGTAGGGCCCAGCAACCTTCTAATGTGTCCCGTCCCAGCCCCACAGCCATCGTACTAGCTACACTCCGAACAAGGCACAACATGATTTTCTCACAGTGTGTATCTGGCAGAAGAGAAAATAGAGCAGGATTTCTTCAATGTCCCGAGATTCACTTTCTGTGGCCAAGTTTTCAGCTCCGTTCTATCATCTGTGATGGCTTTTCTTTAGCGTATAGCTTGGCACAGGTTTGTGTGCGTGTGAATACATTTGTGTGTATGCTGGAGCTAGTGTGGGGTAGGCGTGAGTGTAGAGTCCCACTGTTCCCCGTCATGCATTGCATTTGGTCCAGTTTCCTACTAGCTGTCTCCATATGGTTGTGAATGCATTTGTGTATCAGCTTCTCTTTCCTGTTTGCTCATACATTTATGTGTGTGTGACCCTCATTTTGGGTTAATAGGCATTTATTTGCGTGGATCTTATATGCATAACTCTACGGTTACTTCCCGAGTCTGATGGTCTCCTCCCAGCCCTTGCTTTTCAGACACAAATCTGTCCTTTAATAGCGATTCTAGAACTCAGTAGCAAGCACCTCTGCTCCTGGTCCCCTTCCGCATCCCGCCCTCCAGTAACGTCCACATCCATGCGCACCCAGGAGCAGGCACTGTAGGGAGAAAAAATTAAAGGTCGGAACTCACCGGAGGGGAGGATGAGTGCGGTCAGGAACAGCAGCACCCTGGGTCCCAAGAGCAGCATATCTAACGGCTGTTGGGAGAGTAGAGGCTGTAATGCTCGGGACACATCAGCATTGAAGTCCAGGCAAGCGTACCTGTAGGGCTCCTGTCTCTTCGTCTGCCCAGGGCTTTTCCTGGTCCCCTGTGTGACGGCAGCCCTTTTCTCTTTTCACCCAACATTTATTTTCCCTTCAGATTCACTTCTTTGATCCCTTACCGTTATTCTCATTCGCATTCTATTTTCTGCCAAGTCAGAGGAAACTATATGGTTTAAATTGGAGGTGTTTGCCCCTATTCTGTGGCCACTTTCACCCCCAGTGTCTGATCTTCCGTTTTGATATATGGCCTTTTAATTTCCTCTGCTTATCTTGGTGGTGTCTTGTCTGACTAATTTCATGGATAAATGGGATATTCGCTCAATTCCAAGTCAGTGACATTCCCCATTGCCCCCCGCTGGCTTTCAGTTTCAACACACACACACACACACACACATACACACACACCCTCTGTTTAGGGTTTTGTACAATCAGAGAACTCACTGTGTATTTTTCCTCTGCTCTTTCCACCGAGTCCTTTGGCTGCCGAATGTGCCTCTTTCCTTCTCACGCTGTTTCTACTTTGGCTGGAGAATAGGATGAACAGGGCCACTCCCTGGGAAGGACTTCAAATTTGGCCGTACTCTGAAACAACGAGATGAGGGAGAGCGAGGGAGAGTGAGGGAGAGCGAGAGAGAGCGAGAGAGAAAGCCAGGCTAGAGGCAGGAATGAGAAAGGGCTGGGGATTTGCAGTCACTCACACCCTCATTCCAAAGGTTATGACCACACCAGTGAGTGATACTGCTTTCCCTAGGAGGCCTGGCTCCTGCTCACAAACGTCTTTATTCCATGAGCTTCTTTTCCCTCTTGGAATATGGTCCCAGCCCCCAGCCCACCTCTGCCTTGGGTTCCTTCTTACCTAAATAGCTCCATCTTGTCTTTGGACAGTCTGCCCCTTCTGTGGCCATCTTCCAAGTTTGAATCATTCTTCCAACTTCTCTCACTTTTTTGACATTTGTCTCTTCGACACCAACAAATTCCTTTATATCCCTGTATTTGTCTCTCTTTTTTCCTCTTTCTTCACCCACACATTTAAGAAAGGGGTTCCCCCTCCCCCCGAATCCTATTTATTCCATATTCAAAGACACACAGACACCACATGAGTTTTGTCCAAGAGGAGGCTTGGCTGTTAGAAAAAGTTGAAAAATATAGTACCCTCTGAATCCTTTTGAAATGTGGAGGAGCTCTGTGAGAAGACATGTCAGCCTTCTTCTGTCTTTTGGTTTTGTTTAGGTTTATGCTCAGTATCTTGGTTTCTGGAATGTTCAGGACAAAATGCCATTAGAAGTCTAAAGAAAATTGAGAGCCAAACTCACCTTGCTTGCCTTATTTTCCAGCAGTACTTTCCCCCATATCATGTAATATGTAGATAACACTTTCTCTGATCCAGGAGTTTTAAAGTCTTTGTATTTGCTCTTACACACTGAAACCTAGGGGTTAGATTGGTAAAAATATTTCCACTTTGGGAATAAATTTAAATTACAGAAACGCAAATCTGAGGAATCATTGACCTGATGTGCATTTACTAGTGTGTAAGTTTCACGTTCTCTATTAGCTCCTTGAGTCTACATTGTGTATCTCCCTGAGGAGCTAAATCAGAGGAGAATACAGGTAACAGAGCAGATCATGTTTAATAGAGTACAGACTAGAAAAGGAAAAAGTAAGAAAAAAAAGGGAGGGAGGGAAAGAGAGGAAGGAAGGAAGCTAGTTAGCTGGGAGGAAGGGAGAGCAATGGACATAATCAGAAATAAGGAAACAGCACCTTTGGCTCTGCCCAAGGAGTGATCGATACATGTTCCATCTCTAAGATACATGGGTTCTGGTCAGTCTCTAGAACAAAGCTGAGTACCAAACCCAGCTCTTTCTTATCTGCCTGGCCAAGAACTTGCTCTTTGCCCATCTGCTCTGCAGCTAGAGTGCAGAGGTGGAAAACAGATGTGATTCTAGTCTGGTGAGAGTCAGGGAAAGGAAAGGCAGGGAGGTGGGGGTGGGGAGAGAAACAAAAGCCAGATGCAAAGCAGAGCTAAGGCAGGACATAGAATAGAGAGCTTAGAACAACAGTCATGTTTTCCATGAAGCTCAGACAGATGGACAAACTGAAGTCAGGCCAATCATTTGGCAGGGAGAGCAATGACCTCAACGTGCTGGCCCAGCTCGAGACCATAGCGCAGGAAAGTCTCCCCAGGCGGTAGGAGGGGGTGCTCTCCTGGGGTCCTAGGAGGGAGTCTGAAGCTGGGGCAGTGAAAATGGAACAGAATGTTCAGAGTAAGGCAGAGGGAGAAGGCAGGCAGGCAGCAGCAGCTTAGAAGGAAAGGAGAGGAAATCCAGCAAGCACTGGTGAGAGCAGAAACCGTCATCCGTTCATGCTGTGCTTATAGGCATTCAAGAATGCAGTTGGTTTTAAAGTAGTCTGAATTTTTTTTCTTCCTTGCAGCTATGGTGCCCCTTTATTCTAGCATTGTTCCCCACTTGTTTTCAGAGCCTAGGCTTGGAACCTCAGGTTTGGAGAATCTCAGATTTCCTTTTCTCAAGGTGATTTGGTCAGCCTCTGTTCTATTCCGACATGAGTTTATCATTGAAGTACATGGCGTCACGATCAGCACCAATGGTCAGAAATGAGCAACGGCCATCCAGAGCCCTGAGACTGTTAAGTTTCTGAGGTTCTCACTGACAGTGGGGAAGGTACTCTCGGGGCAGCAGCGCGTGCCCCCATCCAACACAGGCTGATCTCCTGTGGGTAGGTAGAGAGCAGGTTCTCCGGCAACAGGAAGATCCTCCATGAAACCGACTGGCAAGTGCAGAAGCCGCTTAATGCAAGCAAGGAAATGTTTGAGTTACCTAGGAAAATTTTTAGTTTTTCAAAAGGTCTCCAGTCAATGGAAGATGGGTATAAAGTGCAAGGAAACAGAAGGGAGGCAGACATGCAAGACAGCACTGGCTCACAGGCTCTATTCGTCTGTTTATTGGCCTGTAAAGAATACACCCATTAGCTGAAGGCCTCTGGGCAAATGTACAGAAACGTTATTACTCCAGTCCAATCTAACTAAATTAAATCCAGGGTCTAAACGCGAAAAAAAAAAAAAATCCCATAAAAGGAAAGTGAGAAGGGAGGAGGATTATACGAGGTGGGGAAGGAGAAAAGGCAGAGAGCTGTGTGTGTAGAGGAATGAAGCAATAAACTAGTAACAGCCAAAGTTAAAAGATGGACTCAGTGTAGGAGTTAGAAGCTAGCAAACATATGTGTCGGACAACTTTCCACTTCTTAGTAGCCCAGACTTGCTGTAACTCCCTTCATGCCTCTGTAGTTTGTACTTTGTGTTCCTTCCTTTCTGACACATCGTTTCCCAATTCCAGTAAATAAATGCTCATAGGTACATCAAAACCCAGGTGAGATGCTGTCTCTTCCCACAAATATTTCCTGGTCTCCTCTGCTTCTAAGAGTTTTTTTCTTTTTCTTTCTTTTTTTTTTTATTTCAGGAAGAGAGGGAGAGCACGAGTGGGGGCGTTGGTGGGGGGAGCCACAGAAGGAGAGGGAGAAGCAGGCTCCCCACTGAGCAGGGAGCCCAAAGCGGGACTCGACCCCAGGACCCTGGGATCGCAACCTGAGCCCAAGGCATATGCTTAACCAACTGAGTCACCCAGGTGCCCCCGTTTTTGTTTTGTTTTAAAGTATGCTCTGCACCCAACGTGGGGCTTGAACTCACCACCCCGAGATCAAGCCGCATGCTCTACTGATTGCGCCAGCCAGGTGCCCCCTGCTTCTAAAGAGCTTATCATTCTCTCCACTGAGCTACCTTTTTATTTTCGTAAATATGTCACCAACTCTATTGTACTCATTTGCATGTCTCTATTCCCGATTAGACCAAGTTCCTTGATTGCAGAGGTGAGGTCTTACTCATCTCTGGCTAATATTATGATTAGCACTAAAAAGTTGAAATTTGGTCATTTGAATTGAGGTGAGATGACGACTTAAAATTGTGACTTGCAATTTCCACGTAGAAACTTTCAAAAACTGGGGCGCCTGGGTGGCTCAGTCGGTTAGTCATCTGCCTTCGGCTCAGGTCAAGATCCCAGGGTCCTGGGATCAAGCCCTGCAACGAGCCCGCATTGGGCTCCCTGGTCCCCCAGGAGTCTGCTTCTCGCTCTCCCTCTGCCCCTCCCCCTGTTCGTGTGCACACGCTCTCTCTCAAATAAAATCTTTTAAAAAAGTTTCAAAAACTGAGTCAGGTGTAAAGAAGTAGAGGATAGAATTCTAGAGAAGAAAGTAGTTTGAGCATATACAAGGAGTGTAGTAAGTGGAACAAAAAGCCAATGTATTGAAGTGATCTGAGGGGAATTAGAGCAAAAGGAAAAAGGCCCAGAAATTGGGCAACAGTTATTCTAGAAACAAAGGAATCTTGGCAGGAAGGCTGTAAAGTCAGTGCATATAATACATGTAATTGATACCTTCAGTGATTAGTGCTTCTGTCCCATTATTTTGGTTTGGGTAAATCTGGTTGCACTGGTGGTCTTGCATTGTACACCCACACTCTACTGACCACGCAAATGTAAAATGATGAAAAATGCTTCATCCCAGTTCAGGATTCTGTTAAGGTTCCTGAAACCCACAACAACAACAAAATTTAAATAACTGATGATACTGGGTATAAACAAACAAAATAGGATAAATACTAGATATTCATTAATGGGCAGGAAATCTCCATCTCCCTATTCTACCCAGCAGAAAGCAAACAAAACAGAAAGTCTGTACTTTGCAGATACAGGGGGGGAAAATGGGAAAGTTCAGTGGGTATAATAACAATAGCTAGTAAGTTCAGTAGATTTATATGATACATATTTATATTTTTATAGATTGTATGTGCTAGGCAGCCTGCAGGACCCCCTCCCTCCCTGTATCCCCACTTCCTATTCTTTACCCCCTTCAGTG